GGTCCCAGCTCAGTTCAGGTGGAGACCATCCCAACAGTACAGATCCCTCCTGTTCCAATACTAATGCCTGTGCTCCATGAAAAGAAACCCCTCTTTCCCGCACCACTTTTTTAGCCACGTGTTTACTTCCCTTATTCACACAGCCTATGCCAATTTGACATAACCCTTGGAGGACCTATTCTTTAATTTAGTTCCTAATAATTGCTGAACAGGTATTCTTTCCTAGACTGGCCTATGTTGTTTGTCCCAACATGGACCACAATAATTGGATCCTCCCCCTCCCTCTCCCTCTCCAATATCCTTTCAAGCCAGTCAGAGATGTCCTCACCCTGCCAGGCAACATACCATGCGGGACTCTCGATCCTGCTTACAAAAGGATGCTGCTATCTATTCCCGAATTATAGAATTCCCACACTACCACATGTATTTTTGCTCCCCTCTTTTAAATGGCCTCCTGTACCATTGTCAGCTGGCTGATCCTCCCTACAGCTTTGTTCCTCATCCACAGGGAGCAAGTACCTTTTACCTGTTGGACAAGGTCAAGAGCAGAGGTTCCTCTGTTCCTGAATACAGGATCCCTCTACCTGCCTCACTTGCAATAACACCCTGCTGTCCCTGACCACTGGCCTAATTGAGAGGTACTTAATCTACTGGCTGTGACTGCCACCTGAAACAAAGCGTCCAAGTAACTCTTCCGCCTCCCAAGATGTGCCAGTGTCTGAAGCTCCGATTCCAGGCCGAAGTTCCTCCAGCAACCATTGCTGCGGATGTGGTGAGTGCAGCTCACATTGGGATCAGCCAGCTCCCACAGCATACAGCTACAGCACATCACGTGCCCAGCCATCTCTACATAGTTAATCTCTGGTTAGTTAATTATTTATTAAATGGGTTTGCAGTGATTTTATTTTCAAATTTAGGACAGTTTTCCTACTAGCCAATCTGGTCACAGCCCTCCTGTGACATCACTTTTTTTCAGTTTGGTTTCTGTTACTCAGTGTGCTCCTCCCTCTGACTCCACTCCCTGGAAACAAGGCCGCGAATGCCTGAGGTAAGTTAAGTTTTTATACTCACCATGCTCCGTGTGCTCCTCTCTCCGACTCTGTTGCCTGGAAACAAGGCCATTTTGTGATGGAATCAATTTCCTCAAATTTTTCATTCATTCAAGTGAGGCGCAATTACAATTTTTTGTACGACCAATGTTTTTGGAAATGGCTGCACAATGTGTAAAATTAATTCACAAATTTCATTGTTCTTAAATTTAATTTGAATATACAATACTGTCTCAAATTATTAAGCAGTTTTAAAATAGGTTGCTGCATCCTTAACCATAAGAAAAAAATAAGAAAAATCATTCACATTCACAATTCAGTATGAATTGTCAAAAAATCACATTAAACTGTTTGAATTACTCAAAGACAATGTTTAAATCTGAACACCTGGTACAGAAGACAATCAGATAAACAAATTGAAAAATTCCACTTTGTTCCAAATAGACTACAGGTTGGTGCAAGGATCATTTAAAGTTGCCCAATTTATCAGAATTCAGTGCTCTTGTAGTATGTAGTAAAATACCAGGCCAGCAATCAAATGATCTCTTATAAAAACTGGAATGCCACCTATCATATGCACTGACCTCAAGTTTTGAACCTTAACTCATCATCAAAAGTTAATTTTCCCTATCGAAAATAGTCAAAGTTCAAATGCTCTTTATAATCAAAACCCATTGCAAATAAGTTAACCTGGATCTGTGCTCATGTTTAGTTTTAGAAAAAAAGCTTATCGTCTTAATTCGTGGTAGCTGGTTATTAGATAAAGGAGCAATTGTCACATTCTCAACAGCTAAAGACAACACTCGAGCAAAAAGAAACATGCTATTACTGATCCACGATTGATATAGCCAGTTTATTTTTCTAAAAGTCACATTGTTTGAGGAGTGCAACAATTGAGAATGTAATAGCTTTACACTACTAAAGAACTCAAGATTAAATGAACTGATGCAATGAGACTGAAAAATGACAGTATGCATGTTATGTAATTGCATAGCTATTATAGCATATATGCTGTGTGCATCCACCATGCAAATTCACAAAAACATACCAATGTAATAAACAAATCATCAGGTTTAGCATGAAGAGGACAATGGTACAATATAAATGCAAATTATTTATTTAAGCTGTATGTAAAATACAGCCAAATATTTAAACATTAAACAAAATTCAGTTTCACCTCGGTTAGCAGCTTCACTTTCCAACAGTACAGCATTCCTGAGTCATGATTCTGAACCTTGCTATTTAAAAAGAAATGCAAGGTCTGACTGCACTCCAAGGCCAACTATACCATGCTACCAGTCCAAGACTGAAACCGCAAAATCAATTCACATCCAGCAACACCTGATTTATACTGACTGACTGGAATTGTTCATGCACAGCAACCTGCAAGTAGTCTCAAAAAAAAAAACATCAATTTATAAAGTGCCTATGAGATCACTTTTTTAAAAAAATGCAGATTGGCACAACGCTGGAATTACACACCAGTGTCAAGGCCAAGTGATGCGAGAAAGCCTCTCCAAGATTTCTCATAGAACTGTGTTACGACTGCGACCTGGTTCCAATTAGACTGTCACTTCTGAGTTACTGCAAAAAGATTACTTCATGATGAGATCGACCAAACTGTGCCCCAGGAAGTGTGGTGCTTCTATCAAGGAAACAAAATAGATCACTCTCTTTATTTTTGTTTGCATTGTTGTTTTCTTTAAAATTGTAAAACAAACTAATGTGGAGGAGTGAAATATTTTACCTGTTCATTCCCTAGTTTCAACAGGAGGCACCTCCTACTGGAAAAGCTTTTATTCTGTCTCAAAACGTGCAAGAAGCCACTCTCTTCTGGACTGGTAGAGTTCCATTTCTCCTAACCAACAACCTCTCATTTAACATGTGCCTCATGCGCGAGTTGCCAATTTGTTACCAGTTTGGTGGTTGCGGGTTTGAGAAGACTGATTAGAAACAGGTAGGAGATTTTAGTGTGAAAGGACAATGTGCTGACTGCCACACACTCAATTTTCACAACATACTGGTTTGAAAACTTGTGTAGAGAAAATAAAATGGAAAGAAACCGATTTGTTCAAAACTTAAGAAAAAGCAAAAGAGCAATACACAAAGGAGCTCCAAAGCCCCACAGAGGGAATAAACGAGTCAATGTTAGGAAGCTAAGCTGATTCACAGTACATCTGCACCTGCTATACTAATCATTGCTAAACTCCTAATTTGTTCTGATTTGGCTGAATGGTGCGACCAAATGTATTCAAGGAGGCGACTAGATATAGCATTTGGGGCGAATGGGATCTAAGGTTATGGGGAGAAAGTGGGTTAGGCTATTGAGTTGGACGATCAGCCATGATAGTGAAGAATGGCAGAGGAGGCTCGAAGGGCCCCCTCCTGCTCCTATCTTCCATATTTCTATGTATGACTTGTGGAAGACCCTGGATTGTGATCAAGTAAAACAGACAGGGCTTATTTACAAAGGCACCAAACACAGGAACTTCATCTAAAATGTGCAAAGGCAAAGTTGAGATGTTAGAGGCAGCACACATATCTCCAATAGATCTTTCTACCCAGCCTTTCCAACATCACCTGCTGCACACGTAGCAGAGTCTGCCAACCATGCTGAAATATCAGTCATCACAGAACCCACTGAACTGGAATGCAAGTTATTAATCTTCAATCCTTAAGGGACTGAGAGTGAAAGACAGGGTTTGATTGTGAATAAATGAGTTCTGTGATGACTGATATTTCAGTGTGGTTGGCAGACTGTACTACGTGTGCGGCAGGTGATGTTGGAAAGGTTGGGTAGAAAGATCAATTGGAGATGCATGTGCTGCTGTAACATCTCAACTTTGCCTTTGCACATTTTAGATGAAGTTCTTGTGTGAGTGAATGAACAAAGCTCACAGGGAAAATCTGGTTCTGACCCTGATCTAAGCCTGGTCATGTTCTCCCTTGTTCATATTTGAGACATGTCTTTGTGAGGCTGTGCTTCAAATAGCTCAACTCACAAAATACAATGCTGAATCGATCGAATTAAGAGAGTGCAACCGTCTTGTTGGGCAAACACTAAACTAAAAGAAACAACAATTACTGTCTATCCTCCTTGAAGCAGAAACATATAGTATCCATCATTATCTCTTCTAATGCACTAACTACATAGTAACTTACTTTGTAACTACGCCAAGAATTACTGTAACTCCAGTTATGAAGGTCATGGAGGCTAACACATAACTTTAAAAAAAACACAGTAAAGGTAGAGATATTTGCCTGAAGTAAAGGGAGAAAATGCTGGAAACGACCTACACATTTGCTAACCTCTTTGGAGAGAAAAGCATAGTTAATGTTTCAGGTAAACAACTTCCATTGAGTGCTCCATATTAGTGCCAGATAATTAGTACTTGGGTACTTTACTGATTCCAGTTATTACTTTTTAAGTACTCCATCAATGCACAAAATTCTGATAAAAATACACTGATACATGCTTATCCACAATCAAATTGAAGACCTTTTAAAATGGTAGTGATCCCATGCACATAACACTGTACTTTACAATGTAGCTGAGAATGTATACAAATAGATTTTCAAACCTAATAGACCATTGCACAATCAGGATGAACCCGTGTATAATGATTTTTTTTTTTACTTCAAGTCCATGCTATGCCAAATGACACCCCATGAAAAACAGGAGTCGAAAGCAAACTGCATTAGCATAACTGGTTGCAGGAGAAGGCTGTGCACGTTATATGCAATTGTATTTTTCCTTACTATTTTGCAGAAGTAATTTCCCTTTGATCCATGTCTCCTTCAGATACAGGAGATTTCACTGTACAAGAATAAACATGGGGAGATTTGCTTCCCCTACAGTACACATTGCAATGATCAACTTGAAGATCCAGAATAGCTTGCTAATCACTATTTTATCTGTATTACCTAATGCAAGGATCTGACTGGTCAGATCAGACAATAAAAATCACAATTTTTTGAACACAGGAACAACATGAGCAGTATGTGCCGAATAGTTAGCATGTAAGTTAGGAGTGTGTACACTGCAATTGGTTAACTCTACTCCAAAGATGCACACGATGATAAATCAGTCTGTAATGATAAATCTACTAAAAGGTATAGAATTAATGAACAAATTAGTACCTTTACATTTTCTAAGTTAAATGAAGAAAAATTCATCATCTACACATGAATTCATCCTGGAACGGACTTTTTTAAAAATTGCACATCTGACAGTCAATTAGCAAACACGTAAGAAATACTAGACATATCCTACAGTGCAAAACATGTTACAGCAATACTTTCACTTTATTTATTGTAATCAGACATTCTTTGAAATGTAATAAATTACTCAGGGTTGTCTCTTCAAGGACCAGAAGGTTTACATAGTCTATTTGTACAAACTCATTGTCGGGCTCTGGTACATACACATGTATGCATCACACAGCAGCCTTCGTGCAAAGCCTTGGATACTTTTGGGATCCAATCCATGTAGTTCCTCTGGTGACATTTTTAAATATTCTCCTATCTCAGGACACTGAGTCACCTGAGGGATGTTGTAGCCATTCTGCCCACCTACAAAGAGAAAACCAAAATTAGTCAAACTACAATTATAATTATAATTCTAATGGTCTTTTTGTATACATTGTCACACCACATAAATATGCACATTATGCAGTGTGGAATTTAACATTTTCAGAAATAAATTTTAGATCTGGAATTTCTAAAGATAAAAACAATTCAAACGGATTTATCTTAAATTCTCATGACATCCAAGATAACTAATTGGTAATGAGAATAAAAATATATCCACCCGATTTTATATTTGGAAGCATTTAGGGAAGATCACATTAGATTAGGGACTAGTTAGGCTATGCCCTCAGCTAACCATTCCAGTTTCGTACAATCAGCATGACAGCATTGTTAATGTAGCTATGAATTTAAGGAAACGGAGTGAGGCTGGTTGCTAAATTGAATTTTTATTTATACCAGCAATATATTCAGAGTATCAGTTCCTGACATGCCTACATCCAATGTGAGCTTGAAATGATTGACAGCTTATAAAATCAGATGAAAAGACAAGAAAATGATGACATTATAGGTCTTCATTTAAATTTCATTATCTGGTGATGTTCAAGGGCTTTCCAACTATTTCCAGCATTTGTTACCTATCCAGAATGGAGTAGCTTGTTAATCTATTTCAGAGTGCAGTCTAGAGGCAACCACATTTGCTTTGTTCTAGAATCACATGCAGGCCAAACCAGATAAAGATAGCAGGTTTCCTTCCCTAAGGGACATTACAGAACCGGATGGGGTTTTGCAATAATCAATGATAATTTAATCGTACATTACCGAGAGCAGCCATCAATTCCAGATTTTATTCAGTGAGCTTATTAATTAATTGAAATTAGATTCCACCAGCTGCTTTGGTAGGATTTGAACGCCATGCCTCCAAAGCATTAGCTGAAGCCACTGGTTTACTCACTCAATGACTATGCCACCATCTCCACATCACTTTGAATACAATGTAGGTTGGCATTACAACACTGCAGCACTCCTTCAGTGAAACACAGGAAACACCATTTTTCATTCAATGTTAAACAAGGCCCCTATCTCTTCTCTCTCTCACACAGAGAGAGGGAGAGGGAGAGGGAGAGGGAGACAGAGAATGTAATGGAACAGAAATGGAGCTCTACTGAAATGCTGCCAAAATTTATCCCTCAACCAATGCTACAAAAGCTTTGTCATCATTTATCTCATTACTGTTGGGAGGACCTGTACAAATTTGGTGTCACATTTCCCTGCATCACTACAGCGACACTTCAAACATAACTAATTGTCGGGGAAGTTTTGAGACATTCCAAAGATTTTAACAGTCCAATACAAGTGCATTCTCTTAAAAAGAAAAATTATTAACTACAATATAATTCTTAAGCCAAAGTGGAAGTTAACCACATTTTCCAAAGCACACTGTGTCCACATGTGCACACACATGCAGATAACAAATGCCATGAAATATGTTAAAGGCATTTGAACTCCTTGTAGTATTCACTGAAATAAAACTTCATACACCTATAATTTGAGGCAAACAGAAATTTGCTGTTCTAATCCACTACCTTGGATTTATGTAAATAGCAGATGCATGAACAATGCAAGGCAGATTAATCCAGAGTTTCAGTTGTTGTGATAAACTGCTTTTTGGTATATTTACAGTATTGTCTTAGAGTTAGATTGGCTGCTATCATGCTGAATGCCCATAGTTTTTTTGTAACCAGTGTATACCAGAATGTCGTTCAGCTTGTTTATGGTGATAGCAGAGAATCTTCAGCTACTGATTTTCAGTAGTTAGCACTCTTCTGCATTGTATTTAAATTACCCGTGCAATATTAGAAAAAGTAATACAACTAAATAAGTGACATACAATAATGGAACAATGAAACTCATTTGTAGATTCTATTTAACTCAAATAAAACTTGAGTGTTAATTTGCCCAAATATAAATTTGCTACACAGAAAACCTCTGGGAACAAATCCTGGCTTCCAGGACAATGACTGTCGACACACAAGCAGCACAAAAGATTAAAGGCACAAAGGAAATACAAGTCATGAAAATTTCACTGTACCATCCCGATCAGCCATGCTGTCAAAAAACAACCAGGCTGAGTCATCAGGGCCATATTTGACAAAAGCCACATAGTGACTAGTCTCTATGCAGAGCACAGCAAACAATTTCATCTTCTGTCTGGGTACACAACACTGCCTCCAGGCATAGTCAGCCATCTGTTCTGGTAGAGTCACTTTTCTCTGCTTGTGTCCTTGCCTCTTAGGATGGAGATGTACCTGGAACACAGAACTGCATTAGTACAAACTGAAGACACTATTACAAGCTTCTGAAAAGGTACAGAGTACAAATAGCCTACAATTCAAATAGCCAACTTTTTCTAAATTCATTTAATGCTGCTGGTAAGGCTAGATTTAATGTCCATCTTTCTTTTTCAAGAAGAGCTGTATGGAATGTCAGGCCATTTCAGACAGCAATTAAGAGACAAATCACATTGGTGTGACAGATTAAATTCATTATAGCCCAAACCAGGTACGTTTCCCTCCCTAAAGTGAATCAGTCAAATTTTTAGAACAATTTGACAATTATTAGGTTGTTTCTTTCAAATGTGAAGAGAAGAAAGGAGTAGGCAATTCAGCCCCTTGAGTCTGCTCTGCCATTTAATTTGATCATAGCTGATCTCATCTCATCCTCAATTCCACTCTCCATAATCCTTCAACCCATTACTAATTAATATTGTGTCTATCTCCTCCTTAAATTAACTGAATGTCCTGGCATCCATAACATTCTGGGGTACTGAATTCCACAGATTCATGACCCTTTGAGAAAAGTAATTCCTCCTTATCTCTGTTTTAAATCTGCTAGCCCTTTTCAATAAAACTATGACCTCTCATTCCAGGTGTCCCACATAAGGAAATATCCTCTCTACATCTACTTTGTCAACCCTTTAGCATCTTATATACCTTAATAAGAGCTCCTCTCATTCTTCTAAAAACTTGAGAGTACAGGCCTGAACTGCTCATTCTCTCTTCATAAAACAAACCCCTCATAGAATCATAGAAGCCCTATAGTGTGGAAACAGGGCATTCGTCCCAACAAGTCCACAGTGACCCTCCGAAAAGCATCCCACCCAGACCCATCCCCCTACCCTTTCCCTGCAACCCAACGTTTCTACACACTCCTGGACACTACATACAATTTAGCATGTCCACCTAACCCAAATATCTTTGGACTGGCCACTCCATCTGGAATCAATCTAGCGAAACTCCTGTTTCCACTACAATTACATCCCTCCTCAAGAAAGGGAATTAAAATTGTACCCATTTCACTAATGCCTTGTAGAGTTGCAGTAATACTTCCCTACTGTTATACTGTATTCCTTTAGCAATAAATGCCAGAAGGAAGGATTGAGTACAGCCACATGGAGTGACCACAAAGTAAGACAACCATTATGCTAGTTGTATCCACGCCCCGTCTTCCCCAACTTTTCCTTGGAGTCTTGCAATTTTTTTCTCTTCAGATAGTTATCCAATTCACTTTTTAAAGCCGTGATGAAATCTGCCACCATCATACTCTAGGTGATGCAGTCCAGATTTTTATTTGTTATTCATTCACAGGATAAGGGCATCGCTGACTAGGCAGCATTTATTGCCCATCCCTAATTGTCCAGAGGACCGGTAAGAGTCAACCACATTGCTGTTGGTCTGGAGTCACATGTAGGCCAGATCAGGTAAGGATGGCAGTTTCCTTCCCTAAAGCGCATTAGTGAACCAGATGGGTTTTTCCAACCATCGACAATGGAAGAGTTTAACTACTCATCCGGTAAAATCATTTTTTCCTTATTTATGTTGTATGGATAACTGAATTAAACTGCCATACAAATGACCACCGCTAGCATCTCCAACTGCCTTAACCAATTTCCTTTCACTGTCTATAAAGACGTGTCTTGAATGGATTTATGTACAAAATGTTGCATTTAAAAATCATCTTCACTCTTTTCAAATCAACAACAAGACAAGCAAGCGCAAGCAAAAGCACAAACCATCGACAGGAGCACAAGGGGCAAGAGAGTATTCTCACCGGCATGTCGTTCCTACCATTATGGCCGATAGAAGTCCATACGTCTATGGAATAACTTCACCTACTAGAGTGAAAAATTCTATACACACCTTGCCACTTTCTAACAAAGCTCTGTGGTACAAGACTCAAGTTTAGTAGTGTAAATTCACATTCTAATTTTAGTCAACCTGAAATCATCTTGAAACAAATAAATGTTCACTGAAAACATAAGCATACCATTGTGGTGACATTCACTGAAAATGCACAGGTCAATGCTTGCTCAGCTAAGTGCAACTATTGTGGATTTAGAAACACTGTCCAGTGATCTATAAGAGATAGCAGGAACTGTCGATGCTGGAGAATCTGAGATAACAAGGTGTAGAGCTGGATGAACACAGCAGGCCAAGCAGCATCAGAGGAGCAGGAAAGCTGACGTTTCGGGTCTAGACCCTTCTTCAGAAATGGGGGAG